GAGAGTGAGAGTGCAGCTTTGTTCTACTCTGAACGGTAGACAGCAAGTGTAATTACAGGCTGTGAGTAATTTCATCTTAGTCCATATCGGTGAGAACACAACGTTAGATGTTGGTTGCGAGTATCCACGAGCTACGGTAGCCTAACCAATCTACATATAGGAGTGTAAATTTTCAGTGACTAGCATAATTTATTATGTACAAAATTATTCAAAATTACAAAAAAAGGTATTTAATTTAAATATTTTTGGGACAAAACCAATGAAGAAGTTTCTATTAAAATGTAATTTTATCTCAGATTAACATATTCAATAAAATGAAATCGTCGTTAATGCTAAACAGATCCATGAATTTACATCTTATAGGAGAAATATCTTTTAAGTCTGAAGATATAAAATTTTATTCAAATGTCTCTTAAAATTCTTAGTATTTATATATTTTGGTTCATTTATAAACGTAAATAAACACGTTATTCTAGCGGTTATTGATGTTACAGCCTATAAAAAGTCCACTACTGAACATAGAACAAGTCCTCCTCCAAAGATTGCATCATAAGGGATTTGCCGTAGTTGCCATGCTCGGCAATTGGTAGGCAACCGCTATTTTTAAGCTGCTTCTACCCATCTTCTGTTTCATTTCCTTCTATCGCCTCTTACGACAGCCACAGGATGATATGGGGTGTACGAATTCTCTTACGCTGCCACTACACGGTATACTACGAAACTAATCTCATTCTAAAACGTTAAAGCTTTTATATATATATATATATGTATGTCGGAAATGACAACAGGAGATCCCACTTCTGATGTCGGAGATTACAATAGAGGATCGCAATTTTGATCTCTGAGATAAATCAGGATAGCGTTAATTGTTAAAAATTATAAAAGTATGAGAGCGGATGTTCAACTTGCTCTCTTGCTTACGCAGTTAATCATTATCAGTAATAAGACAGCGTAACGCACTATACATTAGTATAGTGAAATTACAGTTCGACCACACCGTAACACGTCTCCGCCACAATCACACACGAGTGTAACGTGAGATAGGTAATTACATGATAACACCAAAATATGTAAACCAACTGCAACACTACTTTCTCAATGTAAAACTGGACAGCATCTCAGCAACACCAATCCTCCTTGTCTGCACTAGAAGAATTACAACAACGAACAGAACCACTATATTATCTTAACACTAACTTAGCACTATACCCTCCATTCTACCTCGATCCAACCGGGTATTGTATAGACGCTCCGACATATATATATACATCATCATCATCATCATTACAGCCCTTCACAAGTCCACTGCTGAACATAGGCCTCCCCCACAGAATGCCACAAAGCACGGTCCTGAGCCACCTGCATCCATCGACTTCCTGCAAGTCTTACCAGGTCGTCACTCCATCTCGTGGGGGGACGCCCTACACTTCGCCTACCGGTACGAGGCTGCCACTCGAGAACCTAGTCAAGTTGCGGGAGCTGCCGAGAGCTTTTTTAAAACTAAATACAAACTACGTGTTCACAGAGAGAGATGCGAATTTATTCTGGTCATTGTCTTTTACAATTCTTAATCCTAAGCTTACAGTCTACTTAAATTACTACATACTCAGCATTTGTGTATTTATGCTGATGGACGTTTTATCTGTATTATGGGTGGTGCTGGTGTAACCATAACTCCTCCCTCCTCGACTGCAAAGTTATCGGCAAGATTTGGATTCCGATGATTTTGCATACAATGTAAGAGCTTAGACTTAAGTTTCCAAATTACAACAATAAGAATAATTAAAACTAACATAGAGTAGTACAGTCGCTAAACTAACACTTTTCTTTTTCACTAAGCTTTCACTTTCACTTTCCACTATTTCGCTTTTCAGTTTGTACGAGAGATATTTTAGTTCGTCCAAATTAACGCGATTTAAATTCACTGTTTTCTCCGCATTTGTTGGCTGCTCTATCAATTTGGGTAGAGTTAAAATTGGTGTCACCTTATATTGCAGTTTTCCTGAGTAGTATCGTTTCCGGTGTAATTTAATATTGCCTAATTTTATCTCACAGTTTTCATCGATTTCCAAGAGGTAAGTGCCCTTTACAGCATTTCTTTGAGTGTCATCGCCACACGTTTTTGTAAGCACTATTTCATTTTGTGTAAATAGGATCCAGTTAATAGGACCAATAGACTGTATCTTAACACTTTCCAGCTCTACTATTGATAATTTACAAAGGCTTAGATTTGATGCGAAGTTCATAAGTTGTTCTATGCATGTGTTTTCAGGATACTGCACGATATCAATTTCTTCACACAGAAACTGGTTTGCTGCTATCTCCTGACATGGGCCATCTAAGGGTAAGTACGTGTGATCTTTCACCATGAGGTAAGGATATTTGGGAAAAATAACATTTGTTCTATTATAGGTGGGATCAAACATAGGTAAGGCATACATTTTAAAATAAGTGTATGTAATATTATCAGTCAGAGGGATTTCCATGATGAACGTTATTTGGTTTTCTTTTACATAGGCCTTAACAGACATAGATCTTTCTAAATTAACTAAATTGTTTTCAGTAATAGGATACAATAAACTATTTGTTTGAGATATAGATTCTAATGTTACTAATAATTCAGTGGAATTAACAATGGCTTGGTGTAGAACGTGAAGTTTAGTAAATGCTAATGCCGTTTCTATTTCGCTTAAAATTAAGTATATAGTTCTAAAATTATTGACAAACATGTTAAACATACTTAAACATATGTGGAGTATATGCTATTATCGTCTTTAGTAATTATATATTTTACAATTCTTTCTATACGTTTCATTCGTTCATCTATAATTTTCATATTTTCCTGTAGAGATCCAGTACTATTTATAAGAGAGTTAAGCATCTCCGAGATTATTGTTATTTTCTTATTAGTGTGCGTTTGTTGGGTCTTTAATTGAGATATGAGATTGTCGTATTTTATTTCATCATTGTGGTCTAAATTTCCTGTAAGCGTTTTGATAACAGAACCTAATGGATTAATAAGACCGCGCTTGAAACGTATCGAAGGTATGAGTTGTTTAAACTTTTCTACAGCTAAGTTACTTAAATAATTTACTTGTGTTTTCATATATTGGAATTCATTTACGTATGGCTTATGGATGTCTACTAAACTGCTAAATTCTTTATATTTATTGATATTAAAATTTAAATCATCTTTTATGCTACTAAAGTCTAACTGCTTAATTATAACCCACTTATCTACTTCCTTGTATGCTTTTCCTTGCTTTACGGGTAACATGCCTGGGTTATGCTCAATCTTTAGAAGTTGAAGGCCTTGGGTCTGGATCATCAGATTCAGGTTCACGAAGATCGCCAACAACCTGTGGAGGGCGTTTCACATTTTTGAGGTGCACTTTAGTTTTTCTTTTCCCTATCGTTACAGGTATTATGTTTCTTTCAACATCACCTTGCACTTTCGCCTTTTGATACCTAGGTTTATCCTTACTTTTCCTTATGTTAATATCTTTAATAAAAACCGTATCACCTTCTTTAAGATCAATTCCAGATTCCCCGCTTTTCTTTTTCCTAACCTTTTCTTTATCTGTATGGACTTTTTCGGAAATATACCTATATAAGTATTTGGTTCGTCTCGCGTGGTCTTTAATGAGTTGCTGTGTATATGTCTTTTCAAAATCTACGTCGAATATTTTACCAGAATCGGTATGACCAAATGCTACTTCAAAGGCTGTTAATCCTGTCGTTGAATGAATAGTATGATTATATGCCATGACTGAATATGTCATGACAGATGCAGCGTCTGTGCATTTATGTTCATATTTTGCAAGCCTGTATATTTCAATTATAGTGGAATGAAATCTTTCGACAATGCCTGTCGAATTGGGGTTATTGGGAGTTGTGATATGAGTTTCTATTTTATACATAGATAGGAGCTGGCGCATAAGTTCGTTATTGAATTCAGTGCCTGGATCAGCTGATATTTTCTTAGGAATTCCGTACATAGAAAAATATTTAATTAATGCTCGCACTATTTCAGTGGTTTGTCGACTCGCAATCTCTAAGGCCTGCCCTAATTTGCTAAAAGCATCCACAACGGTTAAATAATACTTCTTCTCAATAGTAAATAAATCTATAAATAGTTCCTGAAAAGGCGCATCCTGAGTTGATGTGAGTTGTAGTATAGGTTTTATTGGTTTCCTATCGTACTTCATTAATTTGCACGGTTCACAAGCATTTATAACGGCAGCTACAGTGTCTTGCATATTTTCCCAATAATAATTTCTGCGTAATCTTATCATAGTTTCTTTCACACCGCGATGACATGTTTTTCCTTCATGGTGTTTGAGAATGACAGCTTTTTGTTCTTTTTCATCGTCCACATATACTACGCGATGTGTACATTCAAAGAATTGTACTGCATCCTTCTTAAAGAGTTCTATAATAACTTTTGCAAATAATTTCCTATGCTCAGCGTTCTCGAAATAAATAAAGTACCGACTCTTAAATTTTATATATTCCTTTAAAAATTGTTTTATTAATTCTTCGTTTTCTAGTGGGAGAAATACCTCTAGTACTTTTTGTTTTTTTCTAGATAAATTTCTGACTTGTAGTTTATTTTAGAACCAAGAAAATACTAGGATCTGATTTGGTTTGGTATCTATTGCCTCGCTCAAAATTGGGATTGCTGTTGACTCGGGTTTAACATTTGAATGTATCGTGTCTGTGCTACTACTGTTAGTTACATATGGTACAGGGTAGTTTTCTTCGAACAATTCTATATGATCCGTTACACTCGAGTCTGAGTCTGAAATTATCACTGTCTCTGGTTGAGGTTTAGGTCTGTATTTTTCAAGTTCTTCCAGTTGACGTATTACTTTTTGTATGTCATCGTCATCCACATTAACATCCATTGATGCGTCGTCTAAAGCATTAAGTTTTATGCGAGACAAGGCATCAGCATTGGTATTTTGTTTGCCGTTTTTATAGACGATTGTAAAATCGTATTATTGAAGACGCAAACGCCAGCGTGTTAGTTTGCTGTTAGGCTCCTTAAGGGAATAGAGCCAAGCAAGGGGTCTATGGTCTGTATAAATTTGAAATTTTTGTCCATACAAATAGGGCCTAAAATGCTTTACAGCCCAAATGATGGCTAAAAGTTCGCGCTCTATTGTGCTGTATCGTGACTCGGTGTCACTAAGTGTGCGGCTGGCATATGCAATAGGCTTATCTGACCCTATTGGTCCTTGTGATAATACTGCACCAAGAGCTACATTCGAAGCGTCGGTAGTTAATATATACGGTTTAGTCGAATCAGGGTATTGTAGTAGTGGGACACTGGTCAATATTTCTTTACATTTATGAAAAGCATCTATATAATTTTGGTCTATAATTATCTTATTCCTTTTCTTTAAACACGATGTTAGGGGCTGTGTGATTTTCGCAAAGTCCTTTATAAATTTTCTATAATATCCAACCAGCCCAAGGAAACTTTTGATTTCGGTGGTTGTCTTAGGAAGAGGATAATTCTGTATTACCTTAATTTTGTCGTCGTTTGGTCGCAGTCCGTCTTTAGTTATGGTGTGTCCAAGATATAAAACTTCTTTTCGGAAAAATTCAGATTTGTCTAATTGTATTTTCATGTTAGTCTTTCTAAGTCGGTCAAAAACTGTACGGAGTTTCTCCATGTTTTCTTGTAGACTAGCCGAAAAGATAATAACGTCGTCAAGGTACACAAGGCAATGGATTCCTTGCAACCCTCTTAAGACGTTATTCATAGCCCTTTGAAAGGTGGCGGGGGCTGTCTTTAATCCAAATGGCATCCTCAGGAACTCATAGTGCCCATTTTGGGTGCTGAAGGCAGTTTTCTGTCGGTCATCTTCATTAAGTTCAATTTGGTGATAGCCGCTGGCCAGGTCGAGTGTCGAAAAGTAAGTGCTCTTACCTAGTTTATCGAAAAGGTCTGCGATATTTGGAAGGGGGTACTTATCATCAATTGTAATTTCATTTAGCCTTCTGTAATCTATGATCATTCTGTATTTAACTTCGCCCGAAGCATCAGCCTTTTTTGGAACAAGATGTACGGGAGAATTCCATGGGGAGAAAGATTCCTGAATTACATTATCTAATAGAAGTTTATCGACCTGCTTGTTTATCTCTGTTACTTGGACGGGGGCTAGTCTGTAAGGTTTTGTAAATATAGGGTCCTCGTTTTTAGTCCGAATGAAGTGTTTAACCTGATTACTAAAACTCAAAGGTATCCGTTCACAATAAAATATATCCTTGTATTCCTCACATAGTTTACGAATGTTATGTCTTTCCTCTTCATTCATATGGTTTAGTCGTAACTTGTTTAAATTTTCAAGCAATAACTGGTCCGTTTCTAGATCAGAGTGATCTATAGAATTTACATACGATTTATCATCCACACATTCATAAATTTCAAAAGGTTTCTTAATAGATAGTTCCATTTGTTGATCTAACGTATTTTGTATAATTGTGGTGGCATAGCCCTTCTCACATTTTACCAATGCAGAAGGCGTGCGCACCCCGTCACAGAATCGGGTATAATTTAATATTCCTTCGCCATAAAACATGTTAGCAGGTAATTTTGCTCTGACTTCAGAACGAGGTGGAAGTATTACTACATGTTCTAAGCTATTGTGTATTATCGGTATTCTAGAAGAATTTGTAGTAAGTAATTGTTTCTTTAAATCTATTACAGCTTCCAACTGCTTTAATAAATCATTCCCAACTAACCCATCATAACGTGAATCGACATTATAAAGATAAAATTTATGTTCGTCATTACTTTGAAATATAGAAAATAGTGGAATTTTAATTACCTGATTGTGTTCACTAGATGCGTGAGTGCTTATAACCTTAAAGGGTTCATTCGTTATATAGTTACGGTAGTATTGATGTGCTTTATCGGGGCTTATAAAAGAACGGGTGCTTCCTGTGTCTATCATAAAGTTAGCATCTATTTCCGGTATATATATGTATGGTAGTTTTAGATTTATGTCGCAATTCAATTCTATTATTTCGGGTGGTTTTCGGAGGCTTTTACTTGAAAATTTTCAGTCTGTGCCGATATGTCATTATCCTCTGAATCATTGTTTTCTTCGGCCTCTATTAGAGAATTTTCTTGTATGGATTTATCTTCATAATAATTTTCGTATGGTTCCTCATACATGTAATTTTGAGGAAATTCGTAGGGATAGTATGATGGATAAATTTCTAATTTGTTTAGGCGGAAACCTGGTTGAAAAGGCTTTGGAGGGGCAGTTCTCATAGAAACATCAGTATCATTAGAAACCGGCTTATTATGCACATTATTATTATTATTAGGATAATTAAAACGCTGAGAGTTACCAAACTGTTGTGGTAACGTTGGTTGCATGGGGCTATAGCCCGGGGGTCTAAATCCAAAGTTTGGTCGGTATCCAAAATTAGGTCGGTATCCAAACTGAGGTGGGTGATATTGCTTAGGGAAACTCATTTGCTGTTGAGGCTTATTTTGTGGTAACGGAATCTTCATTTGTCTACTATTGGGAATGCCAAACTTAAATTGAGGTGGTGTTCCGAAATTCTGCCTAGGGGGTTGGTTTTGTGCTAACATTGGTCTAAAACCTGTAGGCTGCGTTGGCATTGCGAATTTAAACGATGGTTGTTGCACTAGTGTACTACTAGACTGTGGCTTAGACGTATGGCTAGACTGTAACATTTTACTACGCATCTGATATTGGTCATAGAAATTTACTTCTTCTAGAACTATACTTAGTGCTTCTTCTAGTGTACTGGGTGTTTTCAACCTAACAATGCGCACCATATTTTCGGATAAATTGTATAAGAAAACCTGCAGAGCGGTGTTATTGTAAATAATAGTTTTACTTATTTTTAAGTTTTTATCACCAATTTAATTAACCTTCGATAATAGCACTGATTTAACGGATTGTATACGACCACAAAAATCTGTATAATTTTCATTTTGGTGTTTCTTTAAAGTTTCTAATTCTATGGCTAAACATTCCTCGCTACGTGGGTCGCCGAAGTGAGTTAAAAACAATTCCTTGAATTCGGCCCACGTCTCTATATCTTCCCGTTCACTGATAAGCGACGCAGCCTCGCCCGTAAGACGACTAGTAATGATTTGCATTATATATTCATTTTGCACATCGGATGATTTAAAGTTACTTATTATATATTCACATTTACGCAAAAATAAATTTAAATGGCGCTTATCGCCGCTAAATGTTGGTATTATTTTAGTTAATTCGTTAGGGATAAGTTTGATTTCCGACATTTTTAATAATTTATTCACTGGTTCTACACAAAAATAAAAAAAATAATATAAAATATTTATTATAACCCTACCAGTTCCACAAATGTTGTAAGGAAAATTCGAGTATAAGTAATAATCTATTATATATTAACGTGTCGAGTAATCTTTAAGTTAACAAACACATGTAGACACAATAAGAACTTAATATAATGTATAATACTTAATATAATATACTCTATAACTTTATTGAGTGATATGGGGCTTATTATTATGTACGTATAACAATTAAATTAATATTATTTTTATTTTTATTTAAGTAATATTTATTACACTAAATACTTTATAAAATTTACGTAAGATTAGTATTTGAAACCCAAATAACAGTCAAAATGGAAAATGTCTAATTCCAAGTTTACTAAGGGATATGAAGGAGGTGAAGAGTCGTACTCACCAGCCCGCAGTGCCCATCATCAGCTTCACGGCTCCTTATTCTGGACGAATTTGTTTTGGTTCGCTGGATCACCACGCTGTATGGATCGTCCGCCGATACGCGAAAATGAGTAAAATTATATACGCGATATTCACGAACGGCGGCACAGCTTTTCCGGTGATCCTACCGGCTGCGCCAGTCAAGTTGCGGGAGCTGCCGGAGCTTTTTTAAAACTAAATACAAACTACGTGTTCACAGAGAGAGATGCGAATTTATTCTGGTCATTGTCTTTTACAATTCTTAATCCTAAGCTTACAGTCTACTTAAATTACTACATACTCAGCATTTGTGTATTTATGCTGATGGACGTTTTATCTGTATTATGGGTGGTGCTGGTGTAACCATAACTACCTTTTTTCCCCATCGGTTGTCAGTACATATATATATATGACGGCACACACGGCACCATTGCACGTGCGACGCCGTTGGTGTAGCTAGACAGAATTCTTATAAATAACACGTGTTCCGCATACCAGCACCATTGCACCTGCGGTGGCGCCCGTTTTGCTTCTATAAAACGGACGGAGCGGCCGCCGTTAGGACAGTCTTGGCTCTGACGTGGAATGGTACGCTTGTCGTATTCCGTTACTAGTTTATCCTCGACTCGTTGGATAATTAATTCGTGTAAACGAATTAATTATTATTCCTAACTACAAAATTAGTATCTGTACTATACTCAATTACTCTTTCTACATATATATATATATATATATATATATATATATATATATATATATATATATATATATATATATATATATACGACGACTCGACCTGGCAACATATAACGCACGCACCCTGAGGACTGACGAGAAGATTGTGGAGCTGGAAGAAGAGATAGACAAGTTACGCTGGCATATTATAGGATTATCCGAAGTCCGAAGAGAGGGGGAGGACACGGTAATCCACTAATCCGGCAACTTGCTCTATTACCGGGAGGGCGACCATCTGTCCCAAGGAAGTGTCGGATTCATCGTCCACAAGTCTCTCGTTAACAAAGTTGTAAAGATTGAGAGTGTGTCGACGAGGGTTGCGTACCTTATACTCAGAATCACCAAACGGTATTCGCTGAAGGTCATACAGGTTTACGCACCAACCTCGGCACACCCCGATCAGGAGGTGGAGGAAATGTATGAGGATATCTCTAGAGCCATGCATTCCTCCATAACCCAATATACGGTGTTAATGGGAAACTTCAATGCAAAACTAGACACAAGAGAGAACGGTGAGCTGAAAGTGGGGAAATTTGGAATAGGGCAAAGGAACCCAAGGGGCCAACAGCTGGCCGACTTCATGGAGAAAAAGGGACTCTTTATGATGAAATCTTTCTTCCAGAAGCAGCCCCACAGGAAGTGGACCTGGTCGAGCCCCGACGGTTCGATAAAAAATGAGATTGACTTCATTATGACGACCAGACGACAATTGTTCAGTGATGTCTCAGTGATCGCGAGGGTGAAAACCAGCAGCGATCACCGAATGGTTAGAGGCACACTGAACCTAAACGTTAAGTTGGAGAGGTCGCGTCTAATGAAATCAACGCTCCGTCCCCCTCGTGCTCTAATCCAAGGTCCCGAAACCTTTCAGCTCGAGTTACAAAACCGTTTTCAGTGTCTAGAAGACTGCAATGAAGAGGACGATTTGAATAACAAGCTCGTGGAAAGTGTCCATGCGATTGGAGCTAAGTTCTGCAAGACCCGTCGCAGAAGAACACAAAAACTCTCCGATCACACTCTTAATCTCGTGGCTGTTAGACGGGAGATGAAGATACATTCTTCAACAGATTTGACAGCATACAGGCAACTGAACAGACAGATCTCCAAATGCATGCGGCGGGACTTACGCAACTTCAATACAGCTCGTATTGAAGAAGCGACCGAGCGGAACCAAGGCTCCAAAGTCTTTGCCAGAGATCTGTCTGCCAGAAAGAGCCAACTGTCAAAGCTGAAGACCGAATGTGGCAGCATCGTTTCCGGGGCACCTGAGATTTTGAGTGAGATTGAGAGGCTCTATGGGCAGCTGTACACGTCATCGTTAGAGCCGCACGCAAGTGTGAGTAACGATCCAAGAGCGAGTCTTATCCGACATTATTCCGATGATATCCCGGACGTCAGTCTGAGGCTCTCCAGCACCTTAAAAATCGTAAGGCCCCAGGCGAGGATGGAATTACAGCGGAGCTTCTGAAAGCGGGTGGAAAACCGGTACTTGAAGTCCTTCAGAAGCTCTTTAATTCCGTCCTCCATGGAGGCATTACACCGGAG